ACAGACAGACAGACAGACAGACAGACAGACAGACAGATTAACAGACAGATGCACAGACAGACAGACAGACAGATGAACAGACAGATGCACAGACAGACAGACAGATGCACAGAAAGACAGATGCACAGACAGACAGACGGACGGAGAGACAGACAGATGCACAGACAGACGGACAGGAGCATTACAGCATACTGGAGTTCAACAGGACAGACAGACAGAGAGACAGACAGACGAACAGACAGATGCACAGACAGACAGACGGAGAGACAGACAGAAGGACAGACAGAGAAACAGACAGACAGACAGACGGACCCCGGGCAGGATGATGTTCTCCACATCCTTCATGATGCTGCTCCAGTCCTCCGGCTCATACGGAGCGCTGCTGGGCAGCAGAGGACGCATGAAACCCGGCTGAACGTCTGGAACGACCCGCCGCTCACGGATCTGTGTGAGATACTGCTGGATGAAATCCACCATCTCCTTCCCTACACACACACACACACAACAGAGGAACAACAACACATTAAACCGCAAACACACTGTGAGAAGATCACTATAAATCACTGCAAATACAAGACTGAACAACATTAGAGAAAAGTTATAAAACAACAGGCGAAGAGCACACTCAGATATTACAGCAGAACATAAATATGAAATCTATTTAATGCCATAAAAGATTTCAGAAGATGACAACAGAATACAAACACTTGATTAAAATGTCCTGAATATCATTTATTCAGGAAGTAAACGTGATGGAAACCATCTCTCATTTATGTACAGATCAAAAGTTTTTTAACTAATCCGGCTGTACAAGGCTGAATAAGGTTAGTTGTGTCCTGTAAAACTATTTAGAACCATTCATATGATTCAGTTCTAATAGACAAGTCACTACTGAAGCGCCACACTGGCCAGATGTGAAGGTTCCGATCATTACCTCTCATCATGTACTCCTGCGCCTGCATCGCGTCTGTCAGAGGAAGAGAAGATCAGCGAGGATGAGCCGCTTCAGATCTCATTCCGCTCTTATAGCTGCTGTTGATGGAGCCGCCCACTGACGCAAACACACCAACTACACAAAGACACGCTTGGATTCAGAATGATAGTTCTGCACCTCCAAACACGCATCTGTCTTTATGAGCACTGATACGGCATGAATCAAAAACCAATCCGTATCTGAAATATGTGTGTTTGAAGAGCTCAGAACCTTCTCAATACTGTAATACTTCATCTACAGATGCACAGATACACAGATGCTGTTGCTGGTTCAGACTGTAAAACCCTTTTATTGTGCATTTATTCAGCATATTCAGTTTAAGATGTGTTATAATCTGCCGTCTAGATGTGAACCAGCAGATTGGTGTTGGAGAGATGCTCAGATCCTCCTCAAAGAAAACAAATCCAGCGCTGCTGTCTTTTAAAAATAAGATGACAGAAATCCTGAAAAATGCATCACAAACAACAAGCAGCAGGAAACTATAAACACAAGAGATTCGTGTCGATTATCAGCGAGGAAAACGAGTCTTGACGATGAAGGATTTGATCAGACGTGCAGATCAAACACATGACATCTGACATTACTGCACAATTACACCTTCCTCATTCTGGTTTTGAGGGGCTTTTGTCTCTTTATTCAAAGGCCAGTGGGATGTGGGTCAGAATCAAACCCGTGTCGGCCGCACGAGCACCACAGCTGAGACGCTTTATGACGAGAACTCAAGTAAATGAATGATAATGATCCGGTCAGGTTCAGGCGGCTTTCTTCACTCTCTGCCGTGTGATGGCCTCCAGCTTCTGTCTGTACGCCTCCGCCTCCTGCTCCTTCTTCAGGAACTGCTGTCTGTATTTCTGCACCTCACGGTTCGCCTCCTCCAGCTGCTTCAGAAGAGCCACTTTCTCCTGTATCTGTGTGTCTTGTGTTTCTGTCATCTGATCATCTTCTTCTTCTTCCTTCACACACTGACGCTTAACAGACGGCTCGTCGCTGATCACCGTTTCCTCTGCGACCTCTGTGTCCGACACCGTCAGCACTGCAGGAACACACACACACACACTCTGAGAGAGATGCGCAAACACACACACACACACACTCACACACACTCTCACACACACTCTCACACACACACACACACACACACTCTCTCACACACACACACACACACACACACTCTCACACACACACTCTGAGAGAGATGCGCAAACACACACACACTCTCACACACACACTCATGCACGCACACACTCACACACACACTCACACACTGAGAGAGCCGCGCAAACACACACACACTCTCACACAAACACACATTTCTCGAGATGTTGATGCTTATATGTTTCTCTCACCTTGCTGCCCGTCAGGCATGGTGACTATTATGGGCTGGCTGATGCCTGTGCCCGTCTGCAGGTTGCCCAGCTGAATGCCGTCTGTTACTATGGTGATGACCTGCTGACCTCCAGAGCTCATGACCTGCTGTATGGCTCCGTCGACGGAGTCTGCGGTGATCAGCTCCTCTGCGGCCACCACTGCGTCAGAGACGACCATCAGATCAACATCTCCATCAGTATGCACTTACTCTACACAACAACATCAGGCTTATTTCAGTCTAATCAGTGCTTTGATGCTGCTCTGAGACGCTGTTTGTTCAAATAACTGCAGGGTAATTTTCTTCATTGTGCGGAGGGCAAACACACAATCACGTGTGCGTCTGACAAAGGAGGTCATTCATAAATGCAGGTCGGGTCACCTGTGGATTTGCTGTGGTTTGCGTGCGACACGAGTCCGGCGAGGTTCACTCCTCCTGAACCGATGATGAACCGCGGCGCGGCCGTGTGGACGCTCAGTGTGTCCGGACTCTCGGGGTTTGTGTTGATCTGGTTCTGCATCGCCACCTGATGCACAATCATCATATTCATAAACACATTATGACACAGATGTTCTGGTTTATGCTAATTATTAAAACCACTTCATCAATATTATTAATAAACATCATTACTTTGTATTACAGAGGTACATTAAATTACATCAGTGTAAAATGACTGAAATTCATGATTCGAGCAGCAGTCGAGGGCCGAACACACAATGAACGGTTGAGCTGATCTGTGATCGATGCACTGATGCTACTTTCAGAACGAACAGTTTAAAGTCAGGAAGATTCATTCATGCATGCTTAATTAAAAAAAATGTATATATATATATTTTTTTTTTTTTATGAAAATTTCATAACTGTTAAGATACTATTACTATTTTTTAATAATTTTAAATTCATTTTTATTTAATTTTAAAGTTTTAGTAATTTTATTGTTTGTCTTTTTGTTAGCTATTTTATATATATGTCTATGTCTACAGATTTTATTAATGTTTATTTCAGTTTCAGTTCAGTTCAGTTTATTTTTGTTCTTCAGGTTAAACTTAACAAAAATTTTAAATGTTGCTTTGAAAACTAGCTGAAATTAAAAATGTTTTTTTCTATTTTATTTTATTTCAGTTACTTAAATTATATTATTTATTTAAATTAACTAAAATGCTGTTTTTTATGGGTTTCAGTTTTAATTAACTATAATAACTCTGGTCATAACTTTATCTTCGGGTGAAGTGAACGACTCTCTGGTGACAATATGGACAAAAGTGATGTTGAGATGTAGCCTCACTTTGTGTTTCTGGACACCAAAAAGCCCCCGGATGCACTGAAGGTGATCTGAGACTGAAGGAGTTGACTGAATTTGGAGAAAAGATTGCTGTAAAGAACAAAATGCTAATCGTAGTGTGAATCCAAACGACAGAACAGTTGTTTTTCATGCCTGATTTTATCAGTAGGTGGCGCTGTCACCAAACCACTCACGTATCAAAGACTTGGACAGTCGAGCATTGAGAGGAAAACTGCTTGAGAGCTCAACCGCGGCCAGAGAGCTCAGAAGAAGAGCCTGTGATGAAGCGTGTACCTGCAGGATCTCGGCCAGCTCGTGGCTGCTGTTGTCCAGCGCGATGTCCAGGGCGTTTTTGCAGAACTTGCTCTGTGCGTGAACATCAGCTCCGAAGCGCAGCAGCAGCTCCAGCACGTCTCTGTGGCTGTGCTCCACGGCCCAGTGCAGCGCGCTCATCTTCAGCATGTCCTTGGCGTTCACATTGGCGCCGTGCTGCAGAAACACACATGAATGGAGTCGTTGTTGGATGATGAAAGGCCACACTTAAATCGGCAAATTACAGCAAATGCAACATCAAAGAGCCATCGGCCCGTAATGCGGCGCTCGCTCACCTTCAGCAGCAGCTCCACGATGCGTGTGTGACCCTGAGACGCGGCCATGTGCAGCGGCGTCCGGTCCACTTTAGTGCGAGCGTCTCGACTCACACCAGCGCGCAGAAGCACCTCTGTGGTGGAGTAATGACCGAACTGAGCCGATAGGTGCAGCGGAGACGTGCCCAGCTGCAGAGACAATAACACCTCACTGTAAAGCACAGAGACACACACACACACACACACACTCACTCACTCACTCACTCTGTCACACACACACACACACTCACTCACTCACTCACACACAGACACACTCACTCTCACACACACTCTCTCACACACTCACTCACACACACACACACACACACATTCTCTCACACACACTCACACACACACACACACACTCACACACTTACACAAGCACACACTCACACACACTCACACACATACACAAGCACACACACACACACACACACACACACACACACACACACACACACACACACGTTGTGTGTGTAGC